ATTAAAATGGTTCGCTCTAATAACCAAGCGATTTGTTTCATTTATCAACAGCATTCTATCATTAAAAACAACATTGAATCGAGATTGTTCTCGTTTCTTAAAGGTATGTAATGTACTATTGTGTAATACATAATATTTTATTTATTTATTTTTATTTTTTTTGTTAATTGGAAACTTCTGATTAAGAAGAATTACATTAAGGTCGTAGTCGTGTCGTCGAACAAAACAAATTTGGATACCTGTGAATTGAAAATGCAAACATATGTTGCTTGGAAATCTGCTGTGTCTAGATACTTCAATGTAACTGTAAAAGGAACAAGTCTATGTACCACAAGACCAGCTACATATTATAATAGGTAAGAACTACAGTTTTTTTCTGACTAACCTACTTTCATCACCATAGAAGCACAAATTATCAATATAAAAACATCTATGATAATCCAGTACCATGTTACTTTTTTTACATAACAAAGTATCTGAAAAAAATAATTTGTAGGATATTAAAACTGAAATGAATAACTCTTATTATTTAAATAGGTTTTTAATTTTTTTTTTCTTAAAACACTATTAGTTTACCTACTCTTATTTTAGGGATTTCAACATCGACTACCTCCGTCTGTTGTGTTCTTTCCTATAACATAATGTAATATTATTAATTCAATAGTTATATTAAATAATAAATATATACATATTTAGTAGTTTTATATGTATAGGTAGATTATTTATGATAGAGGCTTAATAAATTGTATTTAATTATAGTGCGTTTCACAACAACTGCGACTCGACGCTGGCGCGCCTCGTGGTGTTTTTTCATCAGGGTTTCTAAGGCTAGCGCGTAATAATCCGCGCCAAATTTAAAATTGATGTCGAATATTTTACACTTTTTCATATTATACATTTATTAAATAAGATAATCAACGAATCATATTTTATGTTACACTTAATTGTTTTTAAATAACTTAAAACTATAAAAATATGTAAAAAAAATTACATGTATCTATATTACATAATATTTACATATGGTTAGGTTTGTATATATAAATATGTATATAAATATATATATATATATTTTTATTAATAGTCATCATCTTCGCTTTCACTGCTATCTTCTGGATTTATTGTCATGATAATTGGTTCCAAAATTTCGTCACGTAAGCCCTCTTTGACGTAATCATCGTCTTGCAGTTTATTGCAATGTGTTACACACCTCTTCCAGTCGTCAACTGTTACGGAATCCAATGCATCATGAGCCAATTTTTCGACGTCCGCGATTTTAAAGCTTGTATTTTCTTCGGCGATTTTTCCTTTTACTTGCGCCCAAATTAGCTCTATAGGATTATATTGGCAGTGATACGGAGGTAGCCGTATAACCTCATGACCCATTGACAACGCAATCTGATCCAGCTCATATTTTTTTCTTGTGGTATTAACTGCTTGACTCGCTCTCGTAACTCCGGCAACGTTTCCAAGGGTGAAAACTGAACTCCCTTTTCTTGTAGCCATTTTTGGACATTGATTTTTTTTTTCATTACTCTTTGGATAATTATCAACAAGACTAGAGTAGTATGATGCATTGTCTATAACTATGACACATGGCTCTTCCAAATTGTTGAGCATTTCTATGAACCAGTCTTTAAATATAACAGAGTTCATATGGGAGTGATAGTCTTCAGATGGACCCGATTTACAACGAAATACTAATTTTGAATTATTCACAAACCCAAATGAACTTGAACCAGCGTGGCAAATAATAATCCGACCTCCCTTGCCTGTCGGTACTTTAAATCCTTCTTTACCCTCCGAATTTTGCCAAATGTAATTCCTTGTATGATTTTGGTTCACCCATGTCTCGTCTAAATAGACAACTGGTCGAACATCATTGTTTTTACGGAGGTTAACCATTTGTCTCAAAAACCGTACACGCATAGCGACAATATCGTTTCTCTCCATCAGAAATCGACGGCCGTCATTGCATTTTTTGTACCTAAATTTTAATGACTTCAAAATTCTCCACATCGACGTTTTAGAACCTTTGTAGTCAGTTTTTTCTTGGAATTTAGATAAAATTTTTATGGATGTAGGAAACTCACCTTTATCATAATACTCGTGGACCGTCCGTCGTACAACCTCTTGGTCAAAGTCATCAATATCTGTAGCAAATTTAATTCGTTTGAATGTTTTACGAGGAGAGGTAAATTTCGGTCCTTCAGTTTCTGGATCTAAAGGGGCTTTAGAGCCTTCCGATGTTATTCTTTTAACACTGCCGATGCTGATACCACATGCTTCAGAAGTATTTTGTTGCGCTTGTAGAAAAAATTTGCTACTTCAGGATTCGACGAGTCATTAGATAATTTTTTAAAATACGAATATACACTAAAAACCATTTTTTTAGCTTGAGAGTGAATATCTACTGAATGGTAAGACATTTTTAAATAAATAATTAACTATATTTAAAAATATATATAAATCGCACAGACGTAATACGTAAGTAATGCGTAAGGAATAGTCAACAACGAACAACAGTACAACAGTACGCACTACACACTGGAGTCTGGATGGCACAATAACTGTAGCTGCAACATGGGTTGTTGTTTGACTACATTCCTACGCATGGGGTCGGTAGGGAGTATCAAACCTACTCATACACAATAGCGGTACATAAAATAAACATACCCATAACCCCGCTGCTCTTACCATTTGTTTCGAAAAAACGCACGCTATTTATTACCTATCCTAGATTGAGAACCCCTGGTTTGAGATAAAACCGCCACGAGTCGCGCTAGCGTCGAGTCGCAGTTGTGAAACGCACTATAGTTAATATGATGATGATAGAATTATAGTGTTAACACACTTCAAACAAATAATTATATTAATAATCATTGATTTATTCCCCAATAAAAATAATTTATTAAAATTGATTACAAGTGTCAACATTAACTAGGTTCTACCTTCACCTGTTAAAATTAAAAATATTATTAATACCATATTTACTTTATTCGTGATAAATGACCACATAAATTAATTTTAAAATTGGTATGCCTAAAATAATGGTAATTTAACATTAAGGAGGGGTCAAGTATTATCAGAACTTGTTGCAACCAATTTTTTATTTTACCCTAGGTGTGTGAAATTGTTATTCAAATAATACGTATAGACAAAATATTGAAGTAGGTACTAAAAACTTACTTCCTCTGTTTTTTCCGTCTGCACCATCTCTACAGGTGCTTTGATCAGTTTCTAAAATTTAAAAGTTTTAATTACTTATACTACAGAAATAACATTACCATGTACTATGTATCATGAATTGAAATACTAAAAACTTACTTCCTCTGCTTTTTTAGTCAATTTCTCCCGTAGATCTTCCTTACGGGATTTTACTAGTTTCTAAAATATTAAAGTTTTAATTATTTATGCTATAGAAATAACATTACCATGTATGTATCACGAATGGTACTATACATTGCAATACTACTTTTTGTTGTTGTAAGTATGCAATTGTTTTTTAAATAGCACATATTATAAATATATTGAAGTAGGTACTAAAGACTTACTTTCTCTCTTATTTCATCTATTTTGTCCCGTAGATCTCCCATTCTACGGGATTGGACAAGTTTCTAAAATTTAAAAGTTTTTATGCTTAATACTTGTAATATTAACCCTTTCACTCCCAGAATTAATTTTTTTTTTCAAAAAAATTTTTTTTTGTTTGAATATTATTTAGAATCGTTTAAGTAATACATATAATTTAATTTAAAAATTTTATAATTTTTTTTTACCTAGAATTTTCATATGTCCTTCCACAAGTACAGCAGGAGTAAACAAAGTCAACATTTCAATAACTTCTTTTTCATAATTAAATAATTTGCCATTTTGTTATTGGTTATAATTTATATTTTATTGTAATTATTATAGAATTACTTTTTTAAAAGAGTAACATATTATTTATTTTATATATTATATAGTTATATTATTACACCAACAGTAATATACACTATTAGTAATGCTATACAACAAATAATTGAACACAGTTTGAATTTTAAATGTTACTTTCATTTATTTTTATAATTTTCACAATTTGAAAAACATCAGTAGACTTATACTAACAATATAAAAAATTAAAACAAAAAATAATAAAACAGGTATAAATAATAATAAAAACAATACAAATGTCAGACTTTGATTGCAACTTAGTAACTTATTAGTTATTTATTTATGAAACCATACTTTTGGTACTATATATTATTATATAACATCAGTAGACTTATACTCACAATATAAAAAATTAAAACAAAAAATAATAAAACAGGTATAAATAATAATAAAAACAATACAAATGTCAGACTTTGATTGCAACATAGTAACTTATTAGTTATTTATTTATGAAACCATACTTTTGGTACTATATATTATTATATAACATCAGTAGACTTATACTCACAATATAAAAAATTAAAACAAAAAATAATAAAACTGGTATAAATTATAATAAAAACAATATGCATGTCAAACTTTGATTGCAACATAGTAACTTATTAGTTATTTATTTATGAAACCATACTTTTGGTACTATATATTATACAACATCAGTAGACTTATACTAACAATATAAAAAATTAAAACAAAACATAATAAAAACAATATAAATGTCAGACTTTGATTGCAACTTAGTAACTTATCAATTAGGTATTTATTTATGAAACCATACTTTTTATAGTTATAGACATTGTATCACATTTATAAAGCCAATTTACTCATTATGATGAAATTTATAAAAACAATTATGCTGTTTAGTCATACATAAATGTACATTACATTTTGTACATTTTATTGATGTTTTTAGAGTACATTTTTCATACTTACATCTAGTAGTATGTGGTCTGTCATCGAATATAGCAAAATGGTTATTGCAATCATAACGAATTTCATCATATGGAGTTGGATCATCAATATTTCTTGGTTTTCTTGATTTTATTGGAATTAATGGTGGTGAAGGTGAAGAACTAGGCCTTCCTACTTTTTTTTTTGCGCTCAGGAGTATACATTTGACTTCTACCAAGAGAAATAAGGGTTTTTGCTACACGTTGTTTGAAAAGAAGCAAGTCCATTTTTTTTGGAATATTACAATGTGTTGCATCATTTCGATACTCCATCCAACTATTTGTCAAAGCCATGTCAAAAGAATGTGTTACCATACGAAGAGTCCATTTACGTGATCTAATAAATATTCGAAAATAACTGATCAATTGGTCATGTAAATCGACTCCACCCATACTTTTGTTGTACAACTTTACTATTTCTGGTCTTTCTAGTGTAATATATTTTTTTTCTTTTTTGTCCCATCTGTTAACTTCATCAGTTTTACCTGATGTCAAAAAGTTAGAAGCTAGTACAACACCTTTATTATCAAACCACTTTATTATTCCTATTTGATTTGTTCTTCCTTCATATTCATTAGATCCAGTTACTTCAAAAGATGCTCCTCTACCCAATTTTCGTAAATGTTTATCTGTTATAAGAGGTGGATTCGCAAATCTATTAACTCTAGCTGTACCTGCTGCATATATTTTTTGATCTTGAAGAGCATTTAATAAGTTATAAGATGTAAAGAAATTGTCAAAATATAATATGTGCCTATTTTTTTTTAGCTGTTCACACAATTTCAGAACAACTGATCCACCTAATCCAAAGTGTGCCTTAGTTTCTTGATCTAATTCGGTGTTTGAGCCTTGATATAGTAATAGGTCATAAACCATGCCTCCAGCCCCACATAATAAATATAGTTTTATACCCCACGGACTGGGCTTACCACGCATATATTGTTTGAGACCAAGGCGTCCTTTGAATGGTACCATTTGTTCGTCAATGCATAGGTTTTTTTCAGTATGTAGTTCATTGCATCTTTTTTTTATTGAGTTGTACAAAGGTCTTACTTTAAAAAATTTATCAGTGTTGTCTGTAGGATTTAATAAATTATCTTGTACATGAAAGTTAGTTCTTAGTTCAAAAAATCTATTTTTTGTCATATTATCTGCTATTATATTTATTCGATAATCTGGCTGCCAGTACATAATGACTCGAGGGAACCCAATAATACCAATATACAAATGTATTCCAATAAATACCTTCATTTCTGATGCATTAGTATCTGTCCAGTTTTTAGTATTATTTTGTTGAGCAAATAAATTGGTAAAATGTGCCATGTCGTCAAATGATATAGTTGAAAAGTATTTTAGAAAATATTCTATAGGTGGTAATGGGGCACTTGGAAAATCTTTTTCTGGTACTGCTGTAAAAACAATTTCTCTTGTAGTAAGTGGCTTTGCTTCCCATTTTATGTTTTCTTTTCTCACACTATGATATTTATACGATGTAGTTGGATTTTCTAGCACTCTATCAACCTATGAGAATAGTAAATTTAATTTCAAGATCTTTTTTTGCAATAAAAATTGTACTTACATTTTCTGTTTCAACCATAATATCATCATCAATATTATCAATATTCCAATCTATATCATCCTCTATATTTTGAAAATCAAAATTTTCATATACTTCATTCATAGCTAGCAGATTATCCAATTCATCTTCTTCATTATTATCTGAACCATCAGAGAAATCAGATAAATCAGAGTTTTCTCCGTTTCCGAGTAATTCTATTATTTTATCGTTGGACAACACACGGCGGGACATATTCTAAATAAATAAAAATATACAATGAAATAAGAAATAATAAGTACATAGGTACCTAGATATTTATGTTGAAAAAACAATTTTAAATTGGTAATGTATACTTACTTTGTGCGAATTGATACACTTGCAAAACGCAAAACTGTCAATATTCTGTAATAGGTAACTACTATGTACCAAATTTGTAAAATAAAATAAAAATAATGAACAGTGTATGTTTACGTTGTCAGCGTTACATTGTAATGATGCAATGACTAATGATACCGCTCATTCCCCATGTCATCCAAGAAGGACATAAGTTCCCGCGCGTTTTACGGGTGTTTGATAACAGTTACTAATATTTTGATTCTTTGAACACATGTTTATATACTATATCATGGAGGAAAAAAATTATCAGAATTTTCCCGGCCGTATTACTACATTTTGTATTATAAAATATAAGATTACATAAGAGACTTTTTTCTTCATGACAACTTGTTCCAACCAAATACGTTTAAGGTATTGAATACTACTTATTATCATGTTATGTTATTTTTTTCGTTATTCACACATGTATATTATCATATATAAATTGCAAGTGATACAAATAAACGTAAATATGATTATCAACAACACTTAGAATAATATGTCCTTTTACTAGGACAATGGGAGCGAAAGGGTTAAATAAGAACCATACATAAATAATGTTAGGTTAGGTTTTAGAGTACTGTCTAGGATTTGGCTTGGTTAATATATTTGTAATAATGAACTAAGTAGCATATTTGAACTGGCTAATCATGTAATTTCTTTAATTTATTGAAATCATGAATGAAGTTGAGTACGAATGATATGTATTAATTTTAAATAGTAACGGCGGTAATTAATCGAGACCATATAAATTATAGTATTATTATGTATACTGTAATTTACATTCAATAATTACTTTTTGTGGTACTGGAAGGATGTATTTACATCCACCAATGTGGATGTTGTTGCATATTTGACATCCTATTATAAATACCACAGAATACAATTTGTATTATTCTTTGAAATCAATAAAAATTGCATACTAAAAATAAAATGTTGTTAAGGAACTTTTCTACTTTACCGGACACCCTTTTTTTTGCGATTTTTTTTGGGGAACTTTGTCATATTTTTGACGAAAAAAATTAATGGTGTAATCAGAATTTGGGGCTCGGACTTAGTTTCGAAGATATCGGCGAATGAAGTTGGCTATTTTAAGTTCACTGTGCCTATCATGAAGATTGATGTTTTTGTTTTTGAAACTTGTGCTTTTATAGAGATTACGGTGCGAGGTTATCCACTTTATCAGGTAATTAAAAACGAAAATATCCCTCGATCTGCTATCCAAATCCACCTAAGTTAAATTTAAAATGTATATTTGTTGCACCGAAAACTTAAATAATGATATAAATAACTCATTGTATTAGGTTTATTGTTCCATTAAAACACCATAAAATTGTAGATTAAGTATATCTAACGTATTATACATTTTCTATAACAAAAAATCACTGTGTTTTTCTGTGCGTACGCGAAAACATCTACGACACTACTTTCCTATACGATGGAGAATCATATTAATTTATTCGATTTATTTATGATGTCAAACCTAAACGACGGTTTAGGTTTGATTAATAAATTACAACTGTTAGGTGCATTGCCCACGGAAGAAAAGTGTATCCGTGGACATCAAATGAAGTTGGTGAAAGACCAATCTTCACTCGACATGTTTAAATGGATTTGTCGTGAAAAAATTAATTCTAAAAAGGGGAAAAAACTCTGCAATTATAGGTAAGTACTACTAAAATGTAATAAATAACTAAAAAAAACCGGGGAAGTCGATTGTTTTAATAGATTAATTGATCAGTTCTTCACTATTTTTAAAATCGATCAATCGAGTGCTTGTTGATGAAAATCTTTGTTTATCAAAATTTTTAATTGTTTCATATATTGACAATCGATTATATAAAAAAAGAATAATTAAATACTTAAAAATCAACTATAAAATACTATTATTAATTTTTTAGCTTGTCACTCCGACACAAGACTTTTTTTTATAAGTCACATCTATCACTGTTAGACATTTGTGGCTTCGTCAACTTATGGACGTCAAACTGTACATTCCCGGTCATAAAAACCCAATTGCGGCTATCACATCAGGTCATTACTGGTTGGTCATCATTTTTCCGAGAAGTCACATATGACGCAATGGTGATCAAAAAAGTTAAATTGGGAGGATATGGCCACACGGTTGAGATTGACGAATCAAAATTTTGGCGTCGAAAACACCATAGAGGTCACAGGGTTGAGGGACAGTGGGTATTCGGGGGCTATGAAAGGGAAACTGGCAATGTTTTCATGGTCCCGGTTGAAAAGCGTGACGCCACAACCCTACTACACGTCATAAAAGAGTGGATCAAGCCCAGAACAACCATAATCTCCGATTGTTGGAAGGTATGCTTGAATATTGCATATAGTATTATTAATATAAATTGAATAAATAATTTTATTTTAGGCTTACAACACCTTAAACAATGAAGGCTATGTCCACATGACGGTCAACCATAGCCTCCATTTCAAGGACCCGGAAACTGGAGTGCACTCAAATTCCATTGAGACTTCCTGGAGACACCCCAAGGCATCAATGTCCAATTATTGCCGGAAAAAAAAATTTTTCCCGGGATACTTGGCCAAACACATGTTTACCAAACACTGTCGGATCTAAATTGTAGATCCGACAGTTGAGTTTTTCAAAAACGCCGGTACACTGTACCATAAAGAAAACGAAAATGTTATATTTAATGACGGCCGCCACGGTGACGACGACGACGACGAGTGAAGTCCAAAAATTTTTATTCTTATATAATGTATAAGAATTGTAGTTGATAGTGAATAAAAATTAAAATAGTTGAAAAAATTTGTTGTGCATAGGAAGTGCACAATCTGTTTTCATATAATCTGTGCCCTGTGGCGTTACTGCGCATGCGCTGGGACTTGTGATTATTCGCGTGTATGGGCAGTGATGCCTTGCTAGTGGAACTCGTCGCTACGCTCCTCGGCGCCTTCGCTCCGCTAAGCAAATCGAAAATATCCCTCGACTTGCTGTGCAACACCACCTTAAGTAGGTCACAGGGTAAGTTATGTCGTAGTATGGGCAGTGATGCTTTGCTAGCATCAATCTTCACGATAGGCACAGTGAACTTAAAATAGCGAACTTCATTCGCCGATAACTTCGAAACTAAGTCCGAGCCCCAAATTCTGACTTCACCAGTAGTATATATTTGTATGTTCACAGCCAGCTTTTCCAGGGAAAAAAAAAAGTTCAAGGGGGTAATGTCCCCTTGGAGCACTCAGATTTACCGTGTAACAAATTTTACACTGATTGTTCACCAAATTTCGTCTCGCACAAAAAATATTTAACATTTACCAATTTTTAAAACTAAAATAATTATTTCAAGAAAAAAACAAAATTATTAAATCATAGTTTTTTTATTGTTACAAATAAATTCTTAATAATATTTACACAAGTTTTCTTACTTCTCTAGTAAAAGGTACATATTCTACAATACGATCATGAATTAAGAAACAGTAAGCAGTCACACCTGTGAGCGATTCTGAAGCTTCAATTTCCAATTGAACATCCACTGCTGAGGCTGTGGCTGAATCGTTCTGTTTCGAAGTATCGATAACTATAATTGGAGCGTTTGTCAGAAAAGTAGAAGGACTCAATATCGGGTTACGAATAATTTTTTCATAGTACGATTCTTGAAACGATGTATACATATTATATAATAAGGTGAAATTATTTTTAGTAAAATCTAAATTCAAATTATCGTATGGATAAGCTATAGAGTTCAGAAATACTTTAACGTTTGTTAAATTACAATGATCAAATATACTACAATCTTTTGTTAGCAAATTTTTGCGTCCTTTTTGTAATCCAATTATGATAAATCGTGGTTTTTCTAATTTTGAAGCAGTTTTCAAATTCCATACAACTTTTTTAGTGGTTCTGAGTTCAGGATATTCAAAAGTTTCAAAAGATCTAAAAGGAATAAACAAACTCTTTTCTTTTTCTATAAGTTTCAATAATTTTAACCTTTCTTCATCGTCGACCGTTATATGTGGGACCTTCCAGACTATTTTATTTAAGGTGATTTTACCTTCAGTAGCAGTTGCACCACTTTTAACTTGTAAAGCATTTAAATCACTATGACTTCGGGTTTATATTAATTCCAATCTAGAATTCACTAATATTCTTTTATAGTCTTCAAACATTCCTAACCAATATTTCAATGGTATGCAAGCACTAAATTCACCTTTTTCATTTTCCGATTGCATTGCGTTTTTAAAATTCCAGCCAGCATTTTCATAACAATTGTAGTTATCTGGCGTGCCGGATAAGTAACCTTTCAACGAGCTAGTGATTCCAAGAACACGTGTGCTATCTACTTCTATCCCATTGATTTCCAATCGTATTTGTTCGAAGAGGTAAGAGTAACCGTTATTAGATAGTTTCACTTTGGTAGCATCAGTAATTGTTCCTTCCAAAAAAATAAAGCTTTCGTGTAGATATGGGTAGACATCCGTTTGCTGGATTGATATACGTATTTCATCATTATTATTAAATGATGCAGTATACGTTGTGTATGAATGATATTCAATTTTCGTAATTTTAGAATCCGTTTCGTACTGTGAAGTTATATCTAAAATATCACTCTCAGGCATTCTGCTTTAATTGATAACCCAGAGCTTGTAAAATTTTTTTATTTTTTCCTGTTAATTTTTTTATCTTATTTGATGTTACTGCTAGCACTTTAGTCTTATGACTAGTTGTGCTGATCCGAAGTAGCGGGTCTATATTGAATTTCAACCCCATCTCAAGACCCGTAACGTTTATATATTACTATTAAGAGGAAACATACATATTAGGTGAAATTTAGACTAATGTAGAATAATAAAAAAAAAAAGAAATATTGCAAATACATGAGATCGAATTTACATTTTACAAAATTCTATCAATTCTTAAAAGTTTGTTTACTGTAATACACTCTGCCTCACTAGAGAACATGCCGGTTCTGCGCATCCCTCTACATCACCCTGCTGTCGAAACTGGTTCCCCTATGACAGGGTGTCTCGTGGGGAACTAGTTTTGGATGGTGCGTGGCATGATCTCTCGTGGGACAGAGTAGGTATGTTATGGTAGACGGAAGTTGATAGAAGGTTGCATTCATTCCTAGAAGTTGTAGAAGTAGTAAAGTAGTAGAAGAAGTTACTGTAGTTTTTTTTTTTTTTTTATTGTATTGTAATTTTTTTTTTCAAAATGGGACGCCTATCAAAACGTGCGCTAAAAAACAAAGAAGCCAAGTCACGGTCCCGTGACAATGAAAGTTTTCGTGTACAAGAACTTGAAAATGATAAATTAAGAAAACGGTTATATCTTGCTTCACAAGATATAACAAATCAAAAAAAAATTCTTAATTTTAAATGTACAAAAAAACGATTACTAGATCCGGTGAATAAATTAAATAACCAGTCGTAAAAACATGGACAAACGTTTGCATATCCTGTGAATAGAAAAAAACACCAGATCAGTTGTCGGATTTGTATTCATATTTGTATATAGAGAGAATACCCACAAATTCGTGATAACGGATTTTGAATTCACCAATATTGTTACATGCGGCCCCCCAGGGATCCAAAAGCTGATGTAATTTGATAAATAATAATAGTCAAATTAGTTTAGTAATCAAATGTATTATATTAAACCAGACAAAATAATCAGAACAGTTGTGTTGATTGTAGCGAATTGTAGCTCGTTCAAGAATTGATAATCTCCGTGTAAGTTGTGTGTGATGGCTGGGCGGCTAAGCGAGTCGTGTGTTGTTCTCGTCTCTGGATACATCTACTCAGGCTGTCTCGCTGTCCCCTATATATATGGTGGTGGCGTCCTTTGAAGTGAGCGGCGCGTGTACAGTCGTCCTTGATATGGACCTCACGACTGAAAGTGGTATTCTTAGTCGAAAACACTTTTGGGTGTGGTCGCATTCCTGGTTGTTTTTATGAGCAAATACATGATATTACGTAATCCCATTACAATATCCATAAAACCAGTAAGGTCCTCATATCAGGAGCTATTTCGAATAGTTTGGACCGTTTTAAAATAAGGAAGTTAGAAGGACGACCATTATACTTACCAGAAGACGGGGAAGTACGACCGATGAAAGACCGCGAAGTATTAGTTGCACAGAGAGCGTTGGCTCGAATTTTTAAGGCGAAAACGGAACTGCGAGACATATGTTTGGAACAACTGAACCAGAGTCTAAGAGCCCCAGTTAATAGTTTAAATGCGACCTATATACGAAACTATATACTGCGTGGTGAAAAGATTAATGTGTTAGTAGTATGGGAAGGTAGTTCTGATAAGGTCATTCTAAAAAGATTAGAAATAACGGAATTTCTGATATTAAATTTAACTTGTTTTGATAAATAGGTATTTTAATAAACAATTTTATATGCGATTGGAAACGGTAAAACCTAAACAGATAATTTTTGAAATAGAAGTAGGTACCTACCTATGACAAATCAGGAAGGACCTTAAATCTTACTGAGCCACATAGCTTAATTTGCAGGAAAAAACATAAAATCACACATGCACACGACCCACGAACGGATGTCATATTATACGAAATGTATTTTTGATTTCGTCGTGCGAAATTATCGATATGAAAACTTAATTAAACATTTTAAATAAAAAAAAAAAAATGCTCGTCGACCGTTATATGTGGAACCTACCAGACTATTTTATTTAAGGTGATTTTACCTTCAGTAGCAGTTGCACCATTTTTAACTTGTAAAGCATTTAAATCACTATGGCTTCGGGTTAATATTAATTCCAATCTAGAATTCACTAATATTCTTTTATAGTCTTCAAACAATCCTAACCAATATTTCAATGGTATGCAAGCACTAAATTCACATTTGTCATTTTCCGATTGCATTGCGTTTTTAAAATTCCAGCCAGCATTATTTTTCATAACAATTGTAGTTATATGGCGTGCCGGATAAGTAACCTTTCAACGAGCTGGTGATTCCAAGAACACGTGTGCTATCTACTTCTATCCCATTGATTTCCAATCGTATTTGTTCGAAGAGGTAAGAGTAACCGTTATTAGATAGTTTCAATTTGGTAGCATCAGTAATTGTTCCTTCCAAAAAAATAAAGCTATCGTGTAGATATGGGTAGACATCAGTTTGCTGGATTGATATAGGTATTTCATCATTATTATTTAATGATGCAGTATACGGTGTGTATGAATGATATTCAATTTTCGTAATTTTAGAATCCGTTTCGTACTGTGAAGTTATATCTAAAATATCACTCTCAGGCATTCTGCTTTAATTGATAACCCAGAGCTTGTAAAATTTTTTTTTTTTTTCCTGTTAATTTTTTTATCTTATTTGATGTTACTGCTAGCACTTTAGTCTTATGACTAGTTGTGCTGATCCGAAGTAGCGGGTCTATATTGAATTTCAACCCCATCTCAAGACCCGTAACGTTTAATATGTAACACGATTGTCAATGCCTCACCAAAATTATCAATCGGATTATGATCTTGATCAACTAACTGAACGGTTGTCGAATCAATATTTGTTTTATTCAATTTGTAATATATTAAATTTGGCGGTGCCTGAATTACTTTCGACCCTGTCTTTCCACTCGGG